ATCAGAAGATTACAGTTTAAAACCAGCCTGGGAAGGAAAGTCCATGGGATTCTTATCTCCAATTAACCAGCAAAATACAGAATTGAGTTTGGGTCAAGTGGTAAAGCACCAGAGGAGCAAAAAATGCAAAGCAATAACATCCATGCCCTAAGTTCAGGCCTTAAAAGCATTACTTCATTTACACAACTACTTAAAGACTATAAATAAAAAAGGAAAAGAAAAAACAGATATTTATTTCTAAAATCAGGGTTTTTTAAATAACATAGTAAACATAAACTTTTTGCCAGTAATAAATATTATAATTTGTCATTTCACATGTACATAAGAATACAACTTTGTTGTAAATATTTAAAAAAAACCACAAACATAAAATTATGAGAACACCACCAATAAAGAATATATTAGGTCTTTCTTTCTTTCTTTCTTTCTTTCTTTCTTTCTTTCTTTCTTTCTTTCTTTCTTTCTTTTTCTTCCTTTCTTTCTTTTCCTTCCTTCTTTTCTTTCTTTCTTTCTTTCTTTCTTTCTTTCTTTCTTTCTTTCTTTCTTTCTTTCTTTCTTTCTTTCTTTCTTTCTTTCTTTCTTTCCTTCTTTCTTTCTTTCTTTCTTTCTTTCCTTCTGTCTTTCTTTCTTTCCTTCTTTCTGGAAGTACTGGAGTTTGAACTCTGGGTCTCAAACTTAGACTGCCTGTTTGGTTTCTTGTTCAGGACTGACACTCTACCACTTGAAACATGCCTAGATTTCTGAAGATTAACTGGAGATGAAGTCTTTTCAGATTCTTCTGCCCAGGCTGGCTTCAAACTTCAATCCACAAGATCTCAGTAGTTAGTAATACAGGAGGATTCAGTAGTTAGTAATACAGCCTCCAGAGGTCAGCACATCATAGATTTAGGACCAAGGTAAATTTTTTTTTAACTTTGCTGTATTTGTCATCACTAATCAGTTACGTATTCATTTTTTTCCCTCATAGAATCCACTGCCATTAGTCAGTGAGCTTCTTCATGAAAGGGACAAACAAAATGCCTTCCATTTACAGACATTGAATCAACCTTTATTTAGGGAATAAATGAACAATAAAATAGCTCTTAAATCTGAATTGCCATGAATTCCATTTTGAATAGTGCCATGTCTATAATTGCTTCTGACTATAATAATGTTGAGTGTAATTAATTCACTTGCTAAACACTGTTGATGTGTAGAGGTGCCAAAATAATAGAGAGGTGAAGAGTCATCTGGATTCATTCAAACAATTCCTTTAGAGTAGTAATTAATTTACCCCAATGCCTTCACATAAAAACTGAAAAAAATACACATCTTAGAAAATAGCATTTGTGACATTAAAATAATTTTTAAAGGACTAGAATGAAAGAATAGAAAGATTAATGGTAGGATATATTAGAATCAATAGTTATTTGAAAGCATTAATATATCTTGAAACATCAAAGCATTTGTATTAATAAAAATATATCAAAATTATCCCCAAATAGAGGAGAGGCACAAAAAATTGAGTGCTAAATTTCTAGCATTTCCTGAGAAAGTGCTAATTAGTTATATTGATAAATTGTGTATTTGTGGACTGATAGACAAAATTAAAACAACAGTAAAGGTCTAAAGGAAGCAACAAAGGAAGAAGGAAGGAAGGAAGGAAGGAAGGAAGGAAGGAAGGAAGGAAGGAAGGAAGGAAGGAAGGAAGGAAGGAAGGAAGAAAGGAAGGAAGGAAGGAAGGAAGGAAGAAAGGAAAGAAGGAAGAAAGGAAGGAAGGAAAGACAAAATGAGCACAAGACATAAGCTAACATTTTAAGAAAGAAGAAATACTAGTGACTGACAAAAAAAAATGTAGATAAGCAGATGTTCAACTAGAATACAAAAGTCAGGATCCCAATGACATATCATTACATACTAGAATGTTAAACTGAAGATCGTGAGAAAACCAAGTGTTGACAGAGTGCTGAAGAAATTAGAACACTTGTACATTCTTTTTTAAAAATTTGATTTATTGTTATTATAGAGGTGATGTATAGAGGGATTAAAATTACATCAAGTTTGTAAAGTCACCCTCAATAAGTCCATTTTTAAAGAATTACACATGCTACAATATAATCCAGTAATTATAATCCAAAGGGGGGAAAAAAACTCTACACCTATATCCATAAGACTTTGGGCTAGAAGAGCTCCAGACTTGATGTCCTTCAAATGATCAATGTGGAAATGTGCGTCTATACCATGAAATACTACTCTTAAAATGAATGAACAATTGAGCAATGCAGGTCTTTGGAAAGAGTCTCTAGAGAATTATGCTAAACAAAAATGCCAATCAAATAAGACTAAAAGGTATAGAATTATATTAGCCTAATGTTCTCAAAACATTAAAGTGACCGAGATAAAGAACAGATTAGTAGTTGTAAGAGGATGGGTGCAGATAGCAGGGCAAGAGGGATACTATTGTTGTAATAGTATGGTTACAGGAGAACTTGGGGTGTTGCAAACATTTGGCTATATTGGTATACACAGAAATATATACATGTGATAGAGTACATAAAACTGAGCACACATGCAAACACATGGATTTTACATGTAAAATGTCTTTGGAAAATGGACTTTATCAATATCAAATTTGAGGTTGAGATAATATACTTCAGTGTTGTTTTTTTTTATTTTTTAATTCTGGGCCTGGGAGCTGTCCCTGTGGTCTTCAGCTCAAGGCTTAGCGGTCTACCACTTGAGCCACAGCACCACTTCCAGGTTTCTGAGTGGTTTATTGGAGATAAGAGTCTCAATGAAGTTCCTGCCCCGTCTGACTTTGAACTGTGACCCTCAGATCTCAGCCTCCTGAGTAGTTAGGATTACAAGCATGAGCCACCAGCGACCAGCTAACATACTTCACTTTTGCAAGATATTTTGCAAGATATTAATACTTAATTAATTATTAATTAATTAACACAGTGTTTCCATGTATTTTAATTACAACTGTAAGTAAATCTGCAATTATCTCTAAAAAAATTAAATCATTAAAAACAAATGTGTTGCATAGACAAATAGGAGAATAGATACCATCCCAAGGATAACAATAATCACCCTAAAAGGTATCTGACTAATCTAATTGAAAGACTAACGTTATTTTGGATTAAAAACAAAAAAAGGGTAGTTGTGTAACATATGAAACTCAGAAAAGATATTTTTTCTAGAGGTCTATGGCAAGTTGAAAGAAATAGCTAGCAAACTGTATCAGCAATTATTAATCAACAAAATCTAGTTATCTATTTAGAATAATAGAGATAAAACATTCTTAGAGACAATAAACAGGATATTTTATCAGGATAAAGAAAGTTACAAAAATTCTAAAACTTCCTTGTGTCTAATAACAGAAATAAATACACAGAGAAGTTATCAACAAACTAAAAGAAGGAATATAAAAGTCAATTTTCATAATGAAATATTTAACAGCCATCTCAATATGTGACACAATACACTGACAGAAATTTTATTAAAAAAAATATACTGGGTCAGAACCCCTAATAAACACACATGACCTCACTGAACTATTGTGGACCACTGCATTAAAACTAATAAAAGCAATCCTTTGTTAGTGCAAAATAGAACATATGTCCAAATTATTCACATGCTGGGTCAAATCAAACCTCAGCAAATACCAAAGCATTGGAAACATCCAAAATGAAGTTTTATAGAAAACAATAATACAAGCAGTGATTAGAAAATCCTCAAATCTTTTGAAATCTTGCAGTACACTTTTAAATTGTCAGTGGCTCACAATTTAGGAAATTTCATTAAGCGAGTGAAAAGACATAAATATCAACTCTTGTGGATTTCCAACCCTGGCCAAGAAAGAGTAACCCCATCCTTTCAAGGTGCTCCTAAAGCAACTAAAATGCTTCTACCTAAAAGGGCTAGCAAGGGGGAGAGATATGACCGGTTGCTATGGGACCTAGGCATTGACTAACAGAATGCTGAGTCTTCTGGATTTCATTATTTCCTGTCACATATCCTTGGTAGGATGTTCCAGAAGAATCCAGCCCCATACAAAAGGCCAATGGCAAAACAAGAAAAACTCCAAGCAAAGCCTGTCATCTGCTAGTTTAAGACTTGGAAATACAGCAGTTAAATCAGAGTCTCTTTTAGCCATAATATTTGTCTCCTAATGTGGCCAAAACCCAACAGGATCAGTGCCCTTCCCTCTGGACCCCTACCCCAGGCTTCAGCAAAGTGAACAAAACTGGTCTTCCACTTGCATGTCAGTTCTCATCCCAGCTTGCCCAGCAAAGCTAGAAACAGACAGTATTCAGGCCTTTGCAGAAAACTTCCTAGTCCCTGACATTTCTCTCTCAGAAAAGTATAAGAACAAATATCCAAATTAAGGAATTCAAAGAAACAGAAACAAGAAAGAAAAGCATATCTTTGATTTAATATTTAATGAAGTACTTTAGAAAAAACAAAAATGAAACTTTAGCAAAACTAACTGAAAGAGTAAAATATCTTTCAACCATAAGCATTCATTTTAAAATACCTTCAATCACAAGCATTCATTTATTTTAAAAGATATTAATATCTGAATAACTTAAAGCTAAGCTACACAACATTGAGTCTGTAGCTCAAGGATAAAGCAATTATTTAACTGCTGTGCACAGGCATAGAGTTTCATCCCCCAGCATCACAAAATAATTAATAAAGTAGATAATAAGCTATGCAACTTCTTTACTATAATTAACACAAGGAGAAATCCAATGAAGTTGTATTTTGAGACATACTGAATCATGACAACAGTAAACAGAAAAGTCAAGAAGGCAACCAGACTTGTAAATGTTTTGTTGAATTAGATTATTGTCATGCAATTAATTCTCTGTTTGTTGAATTAGACTATTGTCAGGCAATTCATTCTCTGTTTGGAAATATGTTAAAACCTAGACTATAGAGATCTATGGTGTTCAGGTATGAATCTGAGCATGTCTTTCAATCAGCAGGAGTCAGATCCCCAAGCATGGACTCACCGACTGAGGTCGGTCCCAGACACGTACTGGGAGAACCTGGAGTGCAGCAAAGGGATGAGCCGCAGATCACACCACCGCTTCTCCCACCGCAGACCTGGAGATGTGGGCCAGGAGGAGCACGACAACGAGTCCTGAAAAGAGCACATAGAACATCCAGAAGTCTTTCTTTCTCTTCTGGTGACTTAAGTCTTTGTATCAAAAAACAGCCTTCTCTTTCAGGGGGATATTACCATCTCTTACACATTCAAAATGTTTATAGATTTGTGTGTGTGTGTGTGTGTGGCAAGTACACTCATGCATACACACCCATGCATACACACCTGTGTGCTGGTACTTAGGTTTGAATTTAGAGCCACCTTGTCTTGCTAGGCTTTTATGCTCAAGAGTGGTATGCTATCTTTTATGCCAAACCTCCACTTCCTGGGTTTGGGATTGATTGGTTAAATGAGTAATTAATTTGGTTAATTGGAAATAAAGGTTTCACAGACTTTTCTTCTCTGTGTGGCATGGAATGACAATCATCACAGCTTGGCCCTCTGAATAGCTAGAATTCCTGGCATGAGCTACCAGCACCCAGCCCATTTATAGACTCTCAAAGCCTTCATTATCTCATCTTCATATGAAGACATCAGTATAGCTAGCACCAGAATTTCATTTCCTAAGGTTACTGCTAATGGAATTCTCTGAGAAGTGAGGAAGAGTTCATTCAGAAGTTAAGTGTCATGAAAATGCTTGGAGGGATTGGGGGGGAGGCTGGGAGGGGGTGTGAAGGGTAAACAAAGCAATGCTTGATAAGAAATGTTCGCATTATCCTGCCCATGTAATTGTAACCCCTCTGTACAGTATGTTCACAAAAAAATAAAATAAAATGAAAAAAAAATAAAATGCTTGGAAACCATGGGTGGGGAGAGGCAGAAAAAAAATTAAAGAAAACAGTTCAAGAATGGGAGAGATGGGGCAAAATGGGGACTGAAGAGAATGTAAGACAAAACTAAAAGCATTCATTTTTCAGTTAGCCAAGCTCTTTCTGGACCTGTTCATTGCTAAGTTTCATTACAAGTGTTTTCATTTATCAGTTACTTGCAAATATTTTTTTCCACTATAAAATCACGTCCAAGGAAAATTTAAGTTTTTGTTTTAGCTTCATTTTATACACTTTTTACAATTTCTTATAGTTTTTTTCCTGTCAGATCAAGGCAACTACTGTTGGTTTAAAATATATGTATTGCAATTTTTGTTAAGGAGTTTCACTTTTTCTTTTTTTAACAACAAAAAGCCTTTCTTGTTTCTGTTTTGGGGGTTTGTTTTGCAAAAAACATTATTTTATACGATCATATGCACGTATCTATTAAGCCTTCTAAATCTGGTCCTATGAATATCCTTGTATGTCCTATGAATGGTCCTTTATGATAGGGGAAAAAATAACTGAGCTTTTACATTTGAGAGTTTATTCCAAATTTGCTGTTGAAATACTTCTTTGGCATCAGCAATGACCATTTACAGATTATGTCTCGGTTCAGTTTTTTTCTATTTACTAACTGTGTGTGGTGGTTGCGGGGGAGGGGAGATACCAGGACTCGAATTAAGGAACTGAGAACTATCTCATAGCTGTTGTGTTCAAGGCTAGCACTCTACCACTTGAGCCACACCTCCAGTTCTCACTTTACTCAGATCTCTTGAGTACCTGGTTATAGTTGTGTGAGCCACTGGTACCGGGCTAGTTAACTAATCCTTTTATTCACTAAGTTTTGAGTAGTGATGTCAGAAGTTTCTATCTTACTCTAGATTTTAAACTCTCTGGTTAAACATTATTAAGCACTATCCTCAAGTGATTATTTCTTTAAATAGATTAGGAAATGGAACACAGCTTTGCTCAGAATATGCCAAAAGTGCGGGTGGGGAGTGGCAGGGGATCACCTGGTCCTCTCAGCCTTGAGACCTTTGATGAAAGACCATTGCTTTCAATGCTTACCTGGTGATTGCACACACAGACGTCTCTGTTTCTGGACCACAGCTGTCCAGGTATTCCTGTCAGTCTATCTGCTGGCTCATGTCAAAGATCATGGGTGCTTGGCAAGTGACACTGATCAGCTGGGTAACAATCCTTACAAGGTGCTGAAAGCTTAGGTTGTAAGAACCAGATTTCCAGGTTTGAAACCAATTTTCCAATTGAGTTTTCCATTAACCAAAGGTCAAGTTACTGAAACTATCTCTTTTGCTTTGCCTATTCTTAAAGTGGTTTTAATAACAGTCATGCTTGGTGAAAATAGTCAGAAAAAATTACTTAAGTGATAACCTAGCACTGAGATTCATGATAATGTTTGCATTTTCAGAAGGCTAAAGGAAATTTGACATTTACAGGTAATAGCCATCTGATCAGAAGCATCATTCCATAGCAGTAAATGAACAGGGTCAGGACATAGGTTTTCAGAAAACTAATCAGGTTGACTAATTGACAAGTCTATTTGGAAACGAATCTTCCAGGAAAAACACCCTCACCAGCTCCAGCAGTAGCCTCACAACTGCTACTTAATAATCTCACCCTAAACTTTTTTCCATGCTTTTTTTTAAGCCTCAATTGATAACTTTGCAAGACAAAGATATTATTCTGATCATCTTACAGAGAAAACAAAATCAAAACCTACAGGCTGTTTTTTTTAGAAAGATTGGTTAGTACAATCTATTTTATCTTATTTGCAAAGATATGGTCTTGGGTTCCCTGGAGAGGGGATGTATAACTATGATGAATTATGTAGTAAGAGAAGTAAGGGAAAGGTCTAATAAAAACCAAAGTTATAACAATATGAACATAAAGAGAAACTTACATATATTGAAAATATCATTACTTGCCACTATATGGATAATCATACTTTTAGTGTAGAAGAAAATCTTGGAAACATACAAACTTGATTTAATTTAAGATTATGGTGAATATGGTCACATGCCTTCTTAGTAAATGAAAAAGATAAAAAGTATTTTTAAATGTATTAAAGCAATGTAGAAATTGTTTCTAAAAATAGGCTAAAAATCTTTGAGGGGATTTTTAATTTTAAAAAAGTAAAATAAATAAACTGCACATTTTTATTGTGAAAATACTGTACAGAGGAGTTAAAATTACATGGGCAAGATAATGAGTACATTTCTTAAAACTGCACATTTTTAAAGGCCAGTTAGAGTTATTTTTGTCTGCAAGAGGTCACATAGGGAGTCAATATACCTGTACCTGTGTGGTAACTGTAACCCCTCTGGACAGTATCTTTACAAATATATATATATATATATATATATATATATATATATATATATATATATACATATATATATAGAGAGAGAGAGAGAGATACATACACACACACATACCTGTGGGAGGCTAGGCTAAAAAATATTGGTTCATATGGCTCATGAGACGCACAAGGTTTGTGGGACTTATATTAGAGTATCAGCTCACAGCAGGGCCTGTAGCTCAGCCCAAGGCAGTCTAGTGCTGGCTCTGCCCGTCCTCCCAGGAACTTGTGCATATGTGCACTCTACAGTGCAGGATCCTCTCAGGCCAGCAACTCCTCCAATTCCAGGGCCAACACACCTATCACCACACTTAAGTCTTAATCATATGTAAAATAATAGAAAGTTGAAAAGTTTTTACATCTCGGTTATGTGATACTAGGTAAGTTAAAGATGGTTCCCAATTTTCATAAGATGTAATCACTCATCCCTCACTGTTCATGGTCCATGAAGCTTGTTCAAGGATATAGCACTTTACTAGCAAGTGCAACTCTGAGTTCAAACTCCAATATAGATACAAGAAAAATAAAATAATGTGAATAATGTCCAACTTAAACTATTAGAATAATCAAGCCTGACATATTACATTGTAGAAGAGTTCTTTTCAGTGGAATGCCTAGTGTCATTTAAAATTATTGTTATTACAAAAACGGATTACAAATTTACTTTGCAGTCTTGTCTTTGTTACAGCAATCAGAACTAGTCAGCACCGTATACAAAAATGACCTAGAAGTACATTTTATGATCATGAGAACCATAACTATTTTTAAACAAATTTATGCTGTAATGCCAAGAACATTGTTTTTTTAAATATCAGTAATGTGAATGGTAAAAATACAGCAAGTACTTGGTCCTTACTTTAAAGCAGACTCTGTCTCAAAATGAACATATGCCCTACAATAACTACCAATAACATCTTAACAAAACAGAAGTGTATGCAGTGACAAATACTGACTTGGAATATGAGTGATTAAGGACTTGGAATATGAATAATTTGACATAGGAAGCAGTCATTAGAGCTTATAATCACAAAAATGTTTCTCAGTTTCCTGGAAATATAACCTGAATCAGTCTCTTCATGAGCACAGAACAAATGGCTGTATTCATCTCCAGAGAGAAGAAACTCACTGGACCTGAGCTGGGCTCAGAAGGCTGTGTCTTAATTTAAAAACGAGTAGAACTCTCTTATATGCACTCAAATTGGAAAACCTAGAATTGGTAGATTATATTTTATTATACACTTTTGAACCTATTTTAATATAAGACTTTTTTTGTCCTGATACTTAGGATCTGTGCTTCCATAAAATGTGAAGAGGATGCTTCAGAAAATCAATTATATAGTCACCCTAAATTTTCTTAAAGATTATTTAAGGCATAGGCATTAAAATGTGCATGGTTGTAGGAATTAGTTAATAGCAAAATCTAAATTTGAATCCAATCTGGGTATTAGCAAGATTCTACATATCAAACTAGCAACCTGAATCCAGTGGCATGTGACTAACATATTGGCAAGAACATATGAGAATTGCAGCTTGAGGTTCGCCTCCAGGAGCAAATGTGAGATCATATCTGAAAAGTAAGTAAGGAAAAAAAAACCCAAAAAACAAAAGATGATGGCTTGAGTTCAAACCTTAGTACACCTAAAAATAAAATTAAACTGGAGTTTCATATAACTCTGTGCTTTTATGTAGTAGTTTAAAAATGAATTTATTTTACTGTATTAACTGAAATATGAAAGATTCAGGGAGTAATCAATAGTTTAATTCCGTAAAGAGACAAAGTCAAAGTTCAACAAAATAAACATTTGAAAGGTTGGGGTTGGATTAAGGGAGATGGGGTAGATGAAAGAAGGGGATAAGAGAGGACGTATGCCATCAAGAATTCAATGTATATGCTACAAAATTAATAAGACTGATGGATGGGTATAGGGAAGAGATGGGTGAGGCTGTTGACCAAGATACATTTCTATTCATAAACTGCTTTGTTAAATGATGGGTGCTTTGTACAACTACTTAAAGACAAGCCTTAAAAAGACCAAGCAAAACAAACTTACAAATATAAAACAATTAAAACAATTGAAGGGACACTGAAGTTCAGAGGTGTAGGACAGAAGTGAGGATTTGAGCTCTTTATAGATGCCAATATTCCCTTATGTCCACAATGTTCAGAGGCCCTGTGGCAACTGTGCTTCTCAGCACCTTCCTGCTGAGGACCCACTGAAGGAGATGCTCTGCCTCTGCTCTGCTGTTCTGAAACTCTCCATGGCAAGAGGAACACAACCATTTACAGCTGGATTGACTGTGGTCAAGACTGACTGTAGTTCATCTGCCCTCAGGAGTAAATGTGACAAAAGCACACTATGTGCATGTGTAGAAAATCTCATTGAAATCCCTTCTACATTTAAAATGTGTGAGCAAGAGTGTATGAACTTCGTAGTTTCTAAACCCAGGTTCCATCTAAGTGTGATGTTCAAAGTTGCCAGCCTTGTCTGCTATAACAATGTTCACCATTGATCTTGTCAGATTATGTGAAAGTCAATATTGTGGATTTGTCTACAGATCTGGAATCAAAATTGACTGCTCCCCAAAATACCTAGTACAATGTTTCTACACTGTAGATTATCAGCAAAAATCAACTTTATTGGTATGCAGTGATGATGTTTTCTTATTTTTGAACATGCTTTATTTCAATTTAACTGTTTCTTCACTCTAAAATACAAGGACCTTTAATTGACATTCAGTAAAAATATTCCAGCAATATCCAAATAAGTGCAATGTTAGCACAAAATGAGAACACAGTGTGCCTATTTGAAATGGAAAGACAGTGTGCAAAACCAAAACACAACAAAGCTACATCTACTTTGAATTTAATGCAACTGGATTGATTTGAAACAATTATGCTGTAGAATTATTGAGTGTTTTTCTTGCCTAATTTTAGCTAATGGGTGTCATTAGTCCATATTATCTTTGTTGGAATGAATTAAAAACAAATAAGAATGGCTTCGTTCCTTAGATATTTTTATGTCTTCTCTATGTCTCATTACTAAGAATGTCAAGGATATTTAGCAAGAATCTAAACTTTACCATCATGTGTACTCTCACTGTGAAGTAACGTAACTTTATAATATACTCCTTTTTTGTGTGTGAGTGCAGCTGAGATGGAGAGACTCATTTTTGTGACTAGCACTTAGCGAGAAAATTCTCAGAGGAAGCCAGTGAAGACTGAGGGAAGGAGAGGGTGAAGTGGTCCATAGTCTGGCTGAAATCAGTCCTCTGCCTTCTCTGTTGATGCCTTGCAGGGTTCCTGCCTATTTCATCAAACCATGCAGACACACACCAAGTTTTCAGTGTAGTTGGGGAGACTGGCTCCCAAATGTAGGGGCCTCTTACAGAAAAGTTCAGTTGTGAACAGGGGTAGACAACGCTGGCGTCAGCCTGGGCCAACAAACCGTCATGGTAAATGATATGGAAGGGTGTCAGAAGTATCAAGGGCATTAGATAGATTGGAAGAGAAGAAAACCACAAAACAAATTTATTAATAAAGAGGTTTAAAATGGGGATGGGAGACTCTCTCAGTATAGCAGCCTTGACTAGCATATTGAGGCCTTGAGCCTTGTAACTAAGTTACAGCTTAGTTCTGTAAGAGTCCTGAAAAGAAAACTAAGAGGAATGTAAGATAACTACAGACCTGAGAATGATGGTGACAAGACAAAAAAATCACATTATTTTCTCATCAAAAGCCCAATGTTTTAAACCACTTGTAGTTTATCATCCCCAGAAGATCCCTGCTGAAAATATTATCTATTATAAGGAAATTGTTTCTCTGGCAAATAAAATGAAATAGAAGAGTTCAATAAGTCTATCTAAATGTGGTTGAATTTATATAACATCCTTCCATTTGTAGCAGTGACCTTTGGCCTTTATCATGAAAGAAAGGAAAAGTAGGAGACTGGGGGCCTGAAGTACTTAGCTAAGCAGAATGCCTGTGTGTTAGGTACAGTGGACACCCCTTGGGCCTGAAGATATTAAAAAGAATCCTTCCAAATAAAATGCCTCAATCCTTCTCAAATGAAACCCTCAAATAGAGGATGAAGCACATGAATCACAAAGAGAAGCTGAAGGCTTTATTTCAGTATGTCTAACAGGCAAACAAAATCCTACTGAAGGCCAGCCATGTTACAGTTTTTGTTTATGATCACAGGGGATAATTGTTAGGTTTACATATAACGAGGGAGAATTTTTTTCCTGAGAATGCATATTTGGAAAGCTGAAACATGATGTTTCAAAACTAGTCATAACAGAACTATAAAAATAATCTCTAATAGTAGGAAATGTACTCATTACCTTAATCATGTAAATGTAACCCCTCTGTACAGTATTTTTACAATAATATATATATATATAAACTAGTTATAAAATAGAAAACTGTAAACTAAAAATAATTATCGAAACTATTATCTATAAAATGAACATGTTAATTCCACATTTTACTAAATGTATACATAGTTTGACATTCCCATTACATCTCAGTATAAGGTGTATATTAGCTTTCTTATTTTGCAGTAAGTCTTTGGTATTAACATAGAGATTGGTGACAAATTGAAGCAAATGATAAGGATTGTTAGCCAAATAATTTCAAAAGAAAAAAAACTGATGATAAAATGACATCAAATCATGTAGAGCATGAAATTACATATAAGATGTAATGTCCTAAAACGATTGTATGATATTATTTGTGAACTCCCTGAATTAAAAAATCTCCATAGCTTACCAAAAACTTAATTCATACAAACCCAATAGCAGAAAACAGCATAAAAATAATAACGGGTGTTTTAGTGTTCTTTCTTGATTTTTTTAGGTTGCTTAGCTGATGAAACGATAAGGATCTTGTATTTATGGGAATCAGATTCAACAGCAGACTACAAAGATGAATGTTTTCTCCTGGGTTTTCCTTATGCTATATCTTTATTAGTCTGAACTAGATTGGCTTCTTACTGTATTGTTGGGATGGTAATTGAGGTGCAAGCCACTGTCACATAGAGGAGAAGAGGTGCCACTGCTCTGGTCACTTGGAGCACCTGCAGGAAACAAAATCACAATATTCCAGCAGTCAGAACTCCTCGTCCTTCTAGACTGGCACAGTCTACATTAAAATTGTAAGAATTCTCAATATTCACAAGTAAATTGCATGCTAACATAAATTCCCATTTCACTTGTACAAAAGGCTGTGTTTTGCAAGTAAGCTAAAAGATTACGGGTATTTGGACACTGAACGTGACTCACGAATATTTGTGTTTCATTTTGGATCATTATAGCTTTAGAAAATATTTGGCCATATAAGAGGCATTATTTTGTTTCATTATCCAATGTGATCTGCACCAGACCTGTAATTGTGCAAGATGTTACTCATCTACAAAGTTCCTCTTTGTGTCAGGTTTCTGGCTCTCTGCAAATTCTATATTTAGAAATCATAGCTATCTATGTTATAAATCCTTTTATGAGCTCCGGCTTCTTAAGTACTCTTGGTATATATTCAAATGTCCTCTCCAAAACTATCTCATTTTGTGAAATTGCAGTAACAAAACTTTGTATTAAATTCACATGAGAAGCTTAGTAGTATCTATTTTTTAAAGATGAGTAATTGGTGTCTTAGACTCCTGTAATTTTCTAAAATGTCACATTTAGTACCTAATAGAGTCTGGATTACAATGTATATTTCGTGACTACTGATTCCTTGCTTTACAAAGGATATTATTTTAGAGTTGGCAATGTTGGAAAACGTAATCTATTAATATATCTAAATCCTACTTTTTTAGAGTTGGCAATGTTGGAAAATGTAATCTATTAATACATATAAATCCTACTTTTTTGTCAATCATAGGGCTTGAACTCAAGGACTGGACTTTTTCTTTCCATGAACCTTTTTGCTCAAGGCTAGTGCTCTACCACTTTTTTTTTTTTATCAGTCATGGGCCTGAACTCTGGGCCTTGGCTCTTCAGCTCAAGGCTAACATTCTACCACTTGAGCCACAGCATCACTCCCAGCTTTTTCTGCTTATGTGGTGCTGAGGAATCGAACCCAGGGCCTCATGCATGCAAGGCAAGCTCTCTACCACTGAGCCACCTTCCCAGCTCATGCTCTATCTCTTTGAGCCACAGAACCAATTCTACTTTTCTGGGGGTTATTGGAAATAAGAGTCTCACAGACTTTCCTTCCCAACTGAATATGCACCATAATCTTTAGATTTCAGGCTCTTGAGTAGCTGGGATCACAGGTGTAAGCCACTGCCACCCAGCTCTTACTTACATTTTTTAAAATTTCAAACATTACATATCATACCTAACAGCATATTGATCAATAGAATGAAAGACTTTGTTTTCCTCTTTTATTATTATAAAATTCTCTAATTTTCCTACTTCTAAAAAGAAAGCCAGAGGTTTTCTTTGGAATACTAACCTGGACTACATTTTTCTGCTCTTTAAAACTAAAGAATTTTACATTTTTATTTTAGCTATCTCTTGTAAAGTTTATTTACATTTCTCTTGTTCAAGTTATTACTTTAATACAACATACGTAACCCTATGAGTTCACCCTAAGCTATCATCAAGTGAATATTATGTAAATTTATAGACTAAATGAGTATAGGTATAAGGTCACTGAATTCCACTCATATTTAGAGAAAATCAGGTTGGTAGAGCAAATTAAACCAAAGTAAATTTAAAAAAATAAATAAAGATAAACATAGGAATAAAACTGGGAAGACAAGTAATAAAAGAAACTAATCAAGTCAAAGATGAGTTCTTCAGAAAGTAAGAAAGCACAGATTATCAATGGAGAAATGAAAACAGGGTCATTAGTAAAGTTAGCAGATGCTAAAGGCAACAATGAAAATACAGGGTTAATCTCACAAAAATTAATTAGTGGCATAGTTAAAAAAAACTAAAGATCATAGCCAAGAATTTTAAAGATACTAACAGATTCATTCTAAAAATTAAATAACATAAAAGAAATGTAACTCTAGACTCAGACTATTACTGTAAGGTTTTTATTCAATAATTAAGTAGGAGATAATATCCTGATTAAAAAGATTGTTCCTGGAAATAAAGGAACTACCATTCCACAATTTTGTGAAGACATAATAAATCTGATGCTGCAGCCTCATAAAACATTATGAGAAAAATAGAAAAGTACAAATAAAGGTGTTTCATGACACAAACCTTAAGAATATATATGTGAATATATATATATATATATAAGAATATATACGATTATATATTTTCAAACTGAGTGTTAAAAAATCATCTCATGAAGAAGTGAATGCAAGCTTGGTTTTACATTCAAAATCATTTTAAAAAATTGATGACATCTGCCAGTTGTCAGTGGCTCACACCTATAATCTGAGCTACTTAGGATGCTGATATCTGAGGACTGCAATTCAACATTTGTGCAATTTGAAGCCAGAGCAGGCAGGAAAATCCATGAGTCTCATCTCCATTTAAGCACCAAAAAGCTGGAAATGGAGTTGTGGCTCTAGCCTTGAGCAAAGGAGCTAAGGGACAGCACCCAGGCCCTGAGTTTAAGCACTACCCCCTCCACATCGGCACACACACACACACACACACACACACACACACACACACACACACACACACACACACACACACGATTGACCAAATCCACAAAGAATAAAGTATTAGTAAATCTATAAAAATAATCGAGATAATTCAGTATCAATTGATATCTTTAAAACTTACTTCAGTATCCTAAAATAGAATATATGTCCTCACCTTGATAACAGGTTTCTGTAAATACATACAGCTAATATTATAATTAATGTTAAAATATGCCTGGATATTTCTTTCTTAATGAAAAAAATAATGTCTTTTCTGAATGCTTTTCTGAAGGTCTTAGCCATTGCAATTAACAAGAAAACGAATGAAAAGGATGTAGTTTGGAAAGGATAAAGAAAAGTTCAGTGTTATAGATGATGACATAATTGTATGTGCAGAAAAATATTTTTTAATAAATTTTATTTTATTGTAAAGATGCCGTACAGAGGGGTTACAGTTACATGAGTAAGGTAATGAGTAAATTGCTTATGGAACATTATTACCTACTTTTTGTTTTTCTCCCACTATCCTATCCCTATGCCTTTCCCCCCCACCTCCCCAGAAGTTGTAAAGTTCATTTCTGAAAAAGTGTCTTCTGAGTATCATTGTTGCAAGGAGACATTCTTTGTCCTTGTTTCAGCATTTTGTTTTTCTCCTTCCTTTCTCCAGATCAGACAAATGTATACACAAGACTTAGGGTATCAGAATCAAAGACAGTATTGCCAGGGATAAACCAATGCAAAAATAAAAATAAAATAAGAAGAAAGAACTAGATACAGTACATTGGTAACAACAAGGTTAAGAACCAAAAAAAAAAAAGACTTGCTGTTTCCATATCTTGGATTTCATTTCAATAAGCAGAATTTTGTTTGGTCATATGTACATAGCTATTGAACTATTATGATTCTCTGCCAGGATTATCCAAGGCATATATGAATTATTGCAAATGAGGGAAACCATAGCCTATGTTCCTTTGAGTCTGGCTTACGTCACTTAATATGATTTTTCCAAGTCATTCCATTTCCTTATGAAAGGGGATGCCATTCTTTCTGATAGAAGCATAAAATTCCATTGTGTGTGTGTGTGTGTGTGTGTGTGTATATATATATATATATATATATATATATATACCACATTTTATTGATCCATTCATCTATTGAGGTGCATCTGGGTTGGTTCCATATCTTAGCTATGGTAAATAATACTGAAATGAACATAAGTTGTTCTGGTAGCTTTAGTGTGGCCTTGCTTGTGATCATTTGGATAAGTGCCCAGGAGTGGGAATGCTCGATCATAGGGGAGTTCTATGTTTAGTCTTTTGAGGAACCTCAATACTGATTTCCAGAGTGGTTGAACCAGCTTACATTCCCACCAACGTGTAGTAGCATTCTCTTTTGGCCACATTCCCTCCAGCATCTGTTATTATTTGTTTTCTTGATAATGGCCCTTCTAAATGGGGTAAGGTGGAATCTCAATGTGGTTTTGATTTGCATTTCTTTTATGGCCAAAGATTTTGACCATTTCTTCATGTGTCTATTGGCCATTCTTATTTCCTCTCCAGAGAAGTCTCTTTTTCATTCATTTTTGTTGTTCGTGGTGGTGGTCGTGGAGCTTGAACTCTGGTTCTGGGCACTGTCCTGCAACTCTTCAGCTCAAGACTAGTGCTCTACAATTTGAGCCACAGCACCACTTCCAGCTTTTACTGTTTATGTGGTGCTGAGGAATTAAACCCAGGGCCTTATGCATGTGAGTTTTTTTTTAAATTCGTTACACCACTTATTAATGAGTGGTTGTTTCTTTAGGGATTTATTATTGGTGGGTTTAATTTTTTGAGCTGCTGATCCAAAACTTTGGCAATGTAGCAGGGTATAAAATTAACCCACAAAAATCAGTTGCTTTTCTGTATGCCAACAATAAGAAGAGTTATGCTGAAAATTTTTAAAAAGCAACTCTTTGTAATAGCCTCTAAAAATCAAAATACCTAGGAATAAACTTAGCCAAAGAAGTCAAGGACTTCTATGATGAAAACTTTAAAAACTTTTAAAAAGGAAGTTAAAGCGGATTTAAAGAAGTGGTAAAAAAAAAAACTCCCATGGTCCGGTATTGGGAGAATTAACATCGTGAACATGGCAATACTACCAAAGGCTATCTACAAATTCAATGCAATATCCTAACAACATTTTTTTTTGTCAGTTTTGGGGCCTGAACTCTGGGCCTGGGTGGTGTCCCTGTGCTCTTCAGCTGAAGGTGAGTGCTCTTCCACATGAACCACAGCACCACTTCCAGTTTTCCAGTAGTTTATTGGAGATAAGAGTCTCATAGACTTTCTTGCCCGGGCTGGCTTTGAACCATGATCCTCAGATCTCAGCTTCCTGAATAGCTAGGATTACAGGCATGAGCCACTGGCACCTGGCCCCAACAATATTCTTTAATGAAATAGAAGAATCAATCTAAAAATTCATATGGAACAATAGAAGACCCTGAATAGTGAAAACAATTCTTAACAGGAGGAACTTTAATACCAAACTTCAAGCACTGTTATAAAGCTGTAGTTACAAAAACAGCTTGGTACTGGCATAGGAACAAGTCTGAGGACCAATGGAATAGAATTGAAGACCAGACATGATTCCACAGACCTCTGGCTACCTAATCTTCAATAAGAGAGCCCAAACTATTAAATGGCAGACAATTCTTTTTAAAAAAAATAATCCTACTATAAGATAGGTGACAGTGTCTCTCCACTATGATCCTAGATATTTATGAACCTAAGGTTTGAGAATACTGGTTTGAATACATCCCAGAAAGACAGTCTGAGAGACTTTTATCTCTATTTAAACAGCAAAAGGCTGAAATTAGAGATGTGACTCATGAGAAAAATGTTGAGTAAAGATGTGAGATATAGAGATCAGGTCCCAGAGAGACATAGATAGATAGATGATAGATAGATAGGTAGATAGATAGATAGATAGATAGATAGATAGATAGATAGATAGATAGATAGATAGATAGATAACCCCTCCTGATAGACAACCCCTCTTATAACTTTGTATTATATGAATTATCAATAGCTGGACAATTATTGCTTGCAATTGAATTAAAAAGTATAAAGTATCTCAAGATTTCTCCATTTTAAATCTAAAATCCTGCTGAGAAAATATATCAATAAATGGGAAAGTAAGATACTAAAGTGTTGTCTCCACATTTTCTACAAATTTCTTTTATTCCCATTCAGAAATATGAATGAGCTTCTGTAGAAATTGGAATGTCATTCCTAACATATAAAAAATGATGGAAATGATCTAAGGAAGCCAAATAATCCTGGAGTTCAAGAACTGGGGTTAAAGAACTCATCCTAAATCACATGAAGATATATAATGCTGTAATAATGAATAGTGTGACTTTGGTAGAAAAATAGATATATGAGTTACTGGCAATAAGAAATAACAAATAGATTTAGAATAGGTTCAAAAATGTATAGTCGAATAATACTCTGTGTGTATGTAATTTGCTTCATACTTGATATGGATAAAACCTTTTCATATAAGTCACAATCAAATTTTAAACAGAAGACTTATAGACATTATACTTTGAGGAAAAACAATTGAGAGAGTATCTTTTCAACTTTGGCGTTGGCAAATATTTTTAGAGAGGTTACATTAAATAGTAGTAATGTGACAACAGCAAGCCATTAATAATTAGAATATTGTCAAAAAGTTTTAGAAACTTTTGCATTAAAAAAAGATATCCTTAGGTAAAAATTATTGTTGTCCAGAGATTGACAGAAAATGTGTATAATGTACATGTCATATAACTGAAAAAGAAATACATAGAAAACATTTGCAAAATGTCATATCAGTAAGAAAATGGGGAAAAAAGACAAGTAGATATCTTAGAAAATAAGACAAAAATGGTAGTTAAGAACAAGGTAAAGAGCCATTATCCTTAGTCATCAGGAAAATAAAAATTAACCATATAGTAACATTTCACTACACTCAATAGAATGCATGCTGACAGTCTTTGACCATCAAATATTGGAAAGAATATAGGACTTCCAGAATTTAAATATATTGCCGCAATGAAAAATGGGTGGAATATACAAATATTTATGTTGCTATATAGATTAGCAAGCTGGTGCAGTAGAAACTCTTACTCTTTCCCTGAGTCGAAGGCACTAACTTAGCAACAGCATAAAGCTCAAAATCATTTAAAAGAACATTCCAGAAACAAGTTAATAAGTTATTGTAATAAGGTACTGTAGCCCAGATAAACATAAAGCCAAGAACAGCTACTCTGATATACATAAATATGTATATATGCTATTATATATATATATATATTCTCTATATATATGCCATTTTATTTTACCCATGTCTAGTCATTTAGAGCAATGTAGATGTCCTGCAGGATGCTACATTAATTCAGACATACAGGAAATCTTGAAAGATTAGTCTCATAGAAGTAGAGAGAGAATAGTGTTTACCTCAGGCAGAGGAGGCTAGATAGAAAAGACTCAGTGACATAAAATTTAAAAAAAAATTAAAGACACTCAGTTTTAGGCTATGATAAGAATGAATCTTGAGCACACAATGCTAAATGAAAGAAGGCAATCAGAAAATGTCCAATACTACAGTATTGGGATTTATGAGTAATATAATATAGTCAGAGAGAACCAATAATAGAACAGTGTTTACTAGAGAATAGGGGTGCAAAAACACATTCTTTTTTAAGGGCACAGAGTTTTAATTTGGCTAAAGGAAAAAAATGGTGCAACTGTCATAGAACGTACACCTAAAGGAATGCCTACTGTATATGTTTACTTAAGATGGCAAATTTGATGATATGTGTATTTAATGTAATAAAAATACACTACTTTCAGAATTTATTAACATATGTAATTTATCCTGTCATTCAGCAATCAAATTTCATGATATTTATTGTGGCAAAATAGAAGGGGAAAATTGCCAGAAAAAGCTTTGTACAACAGCCTTTATAATAGCAGCTTCATGTACAATAGGAAAAGGCTGGGAAACACATTGAGAATCTTTATTATATTCACCTAATGGTTTCTTAAATAGTGCTGCAAGAGAACTGCTAAATATAACATGGGTGAATAGTGAAGAAACTGCTGATGATAAAAGAAGTAGTTATGAAAAATTATACAGAGTATGACCCACTGCATACAATTCTTGAGGAGTAGCAGCAGGACAGCAAGGAAGGGCAGGTCCACAGCCACTATTGACTGGGGAGCAGACAAAGAGGAAGTGAGGGGTGGGCGTGAACCAAGTGTTCGTGTTTTCAGAATGGAATCAATTGTGCATAAAAAATATTGCATATCCTTTACATAATTTTTATTCATTTTAAAATACAAATTATTTTAGCAGAAGTGTTAAAGGACATATATTTTATTTCAAGGAAGAAAAAACCCAGAAACATCTGATATAGAACTTTTTACTAACTTTTCTGTAAACTTTTATATTATCCCAAAGAGAAATGCTTTCTTCTGTCTTTACTCTCAAGACAAGTGAAATATTATTTCATGCTTATCAACTACACCATTTTCTGCTAGAAAATCATTATATTCAGCAAATATCATGAATGCAATTTAATAGCATGCCCAACTCTTGTGGACATGATGCATGTCATGATGCACATTCTCTTTTTTATTTTTACTTTATTTTATTATATTGTTGGTAGTGGCTTTATGTCTGGGTCTTGAAGTTATCCCCAAGCTTCTTCTGCTCAAGACTAGTGCCCTACCACTTCAAATCATAGCTTCATTTCCAGTTCTTGGGTGATTAATTGGAAATAAGAGTCTCATGGCCTTTTCTGTCCAGTCTGGCTTTGAACCTTGATCGTCAGATCTCAGCTGGCTAAGTAGCTAGGATTACAGACATGAGTCTGTAATAAAAGTAAAAATAAAAGAACACCTGGCTCTTTATCATTGGGTTATTACTCAAATTTGAATTTGGGGTTTCATACTTGTTTGTCTTGTAAGCTTGAATGGTGCTCTGCCACTTGAGCCATGAATCCAGTCTGGATTTTTGTTTATTGTAGATGGAGTTTCACGCATTTTTCTGCCCAGGCTTGCAGAAAATCATGATCCTCCAGGTACCAGCAAGTATACACTTCCAGATATCTAAGTAGCTAGGGGACAAGTGTTATCCCTAGCACCCAGATATAATGTGAATTTTCGAAACAAATCTTAGTTCTCTATGGAGTAAAAGAGTTGTAATGTGACAAATAGTTGTAAAACAAATATAAATCCATTGCCTTCTCATTAAAATCAGCAGAACATCTTGCAATAAAAAATGTTTACAATAAGGATGGAATTCCTACTCTGAAAAGAAATAGTTACTAATCAGAAAATAGAATTTAGTGAGTAAATACAATGTAAATATTTAGCCATGCTTTGCAAATGCTTACAGGAACAGTCTTCATTCAATGGGAGTTTGAGGAAAGCAGGGGCTCTTTTTAAAAATGACACTGTTAGGGTCACTTCTTCTCCAGCATTCCTGAGAACCTGAACCTAAAAATAAAAAGAATTTAAAATTGTAATTATCATTATTTTTACAATTTTTGTGTAATTACAAAGTCTGAAAATTATTAGTTGCCACGAATCCCATACCACGTTTTCCCCCCAGTAGTCAGGAAATCATCAAAAATAAGTAAAAATTTATTTGAGTGTCTTGTGGTCTCCTGTTTATATATGTGTGCATTGTGCTATTGTCAGCAGAAGCAATACCCAGAAACAGACACAAATAAAATGGACAATGACTTTTCTTTTTTTTTTTTTGGTCTGACATGGGACTTGAACTCTGAGCCTGGCACTGACCTTCAGCAACTCAGCTCAAGGCAAGCATTCTACTACTTGAGCTATAGTGCCACTGATGGGTTTATTGGAGATAAGATAAGAGTCTCATGGACCTTCGTGCCCAGGTTGGCTTTGAACCCCGATCCTCAGCTCTCAGCCTCCTGAGTGTGAGCCATTGGTGCCCAGCTGACAATGACTTTCAATGAAAGGAAAATGGAATAAAGAAAGCAAAATCTTTCCAATGAACAGTGCAAGAATGATTGGATAGTCTTATATTTTTAATGAAGAACCTCCCAAGGTATTACAATAATACATGTCAAAATAAATTAGAGAATGGAAAACTTCTAGAAATATATATATATATATATATGGTATATATATGTATATATATATATTCTCCTAGAAATATTAAACTCTTAGATATAGATATTAGAGAAAACCTTTCTAATACTAGAGAGGAAAAGATTTCTTAGTGATAATACCAAATGCACAACTCATAAGAAAAAAAATGTTGAGAATCACAAACTTAATCATTTGTTTTCTCTATGAAGAGAGCTACTTGTTGCAGGAAAGTACCAGAGTATCTTCATCTGATAAATGGCATACACTTATGTCAAGAATTCTATAAAAGTCAATAATAAAAAGTGAATATTAGAGTGCTAGCCTTGAGCTTAAGAGCTGAGGGACAGCGCCCAGGCCCAGAGTTCAGGCCCCACGACCAGACCCCCCCCCCCCAAAAAAAAAAGAATATTATTTTAATGAAACATGAATTCTGCCCAAAGAACATAGATTCAAACAAGACAATTTACCAGAAAATCCCAATCACACCATTAAAAATGAATTATTAAAATATTTCTCTCTGAGTCACAAGATGAGAAAAAAATCAGTATTCTTGTGTAACCCTTAATATTTCCTCATGTCTGAATATAATAATGCAAGAAAAAGTTATTTTTTCAAGAATTGAAAGAAAACAATACAAGCAGTTGTTCACATGACATGATTTAAAATACAGTTTCCCTGGTATTCATACCTGACATTGTCAGGTAGGGTGAGCCAGCATAAGGAGTGGAGCCGGGGAGGGCCAGAGCACCAAGTAGTACCAAGATATAAATATACAATGTATTTTAAAATCAGTATGGTGCTATTTAATGTCATGGATTGCTAGATTAAAAGTGTACCATATCTATTTTGCTCTGTTTTTATGTCAATTCAAGACAATTGCATGCAATATGTGTCTTTTCATTTTGCAGCTCAGTCTGCATTTACTAATTCCATTTTTGTATTTGCATTGATATTACATTAAAGACACTTAATATCAACACCACCGGTATCATATGAGATGAGAATTTGTGATGAAATTAAATATGAAGTAATGGAATAAGTAAGCTAAATAACACTAATGAGAATGTTAGGTGCAGTTATGCAAATAAAAGTGACAGACGTAAACTTATGTCATTGTCTAAAGAAAAGACAATGGAGTGGACAATTGCATTACTTTTAAAATTATGAATATGTGCTTCAATCTGTTCTGTCCATATATAATTGGAAAGAATAACTTTAAAAAAGTATAATGACTCTCCACGGAGATATTTTAATTGTAAATATAATACCACTTGTAAATATATGTATCTCTGTTGGGAATGACAGTTTCACATGTTTGACCCACATAGATTTCTTACTTGCTGAAAGGCCATTAAGTTTTTCATAGTGTGCTCATTAAACAACTTTCATATTCTTCCTTTGTTTTGGGGCACATTTCATCTTCTTGAAAAAGTCAAATTGGAAAATACAGGTTCTATAGCATGAATATTATAAGAAAAGTCATCCTTTCCTGTTAAATCAGAAACTCACACCAACAATAGATACCTTTTTTTATTCTTCACACTTTATGACTTAAATATAAATTGTAATCCTAATATAGTTATTTTTTTCAAACTGCCTAAGCTTTTACCAAAGATTCAGAAGTTGATAAATGATAACAATCATAATGGAAAAGGGAAATGGGATTACAAGATATTTATTACTTTATATTAAGTCTAGTACAAATCTAACAACTCTGTTTATGAAGGGATTACTCCCAATTTCCACTCATTTATTTGGATTAAAACTTCACTAAAGTTCGTAAGACCTTCTATTTGTTTTGTCTGTATTCTTTATTTCTCGTCTCTTGTAAGCCATTCCATTTAATAAGAGACTTGAAAGATGAGTGAGGATGTCTGCTACTGCTGCCAGGATAAATGAAGCCAACTTTGTCCAGAACTGAGGTTGTTTTTGATTGAAAAGGTTACTGCAAATATCTACTGGAAGTATTTCAAAAACATCTCTAAACTAGGTGCCAGAGGCTTATGCCTGTAATTTTAGCTGTTCAGGAGGCTGAGATCTGAGGATCAATGTTGGAAGCCAGCCCAGGCAGGAAAGACGTGAACACTTTTATCAATTAACCACAAAATGTTTGGAAGTTTTGGTATGATTTAAGTGGCAGAGTGCTAGTTTTGAGAAAAAATAAAATCTGCAGGGATAGTGCTCAAGCCCCATATAAGCTTTTTAACAAAGAGGACAATAAGAACTCAACTTATCACATGTTATGGAGAAAAGGCAAAACAATCTTTTTTTTTCCCTCTCTTTATGGGGCCAATATTGGTGCTTGAATTCAAGACTTCACAAGCTTGCGTGGCACTCTACTACTTGAGCACACCTCCTCTTCTGGCTGTCTTTGACACAGTCCTCAGATCTCAAACGTCTGAGTAGCTAGGATTAAAGGTGTGAGCTACCAATGCCTGGGAAAGCTCTGTAAGTTTTCTACTCTGATTAGAGAGCTCTCTTATGTAGTCTATTGTTTATCTACTCACCCATTTGTGACCTTGGTATAGCAAGGTGTGAACATGCCAATTGTCTGTGGCTTTAGTGAAAGTGTATGTATTTATATTTACACCTTGAACATGAGGCCAGAATGCCTGTCAGTTTTGAAGGAAGTCTGAACAGTGATGATATTTTTTTTCATACTGGGGACTCACCCATGACTTTGTACTTATTAGGTGAGTGGTTTTCAAATTGTACTGTGCCCAAGCCCTTTGATTTTTGAGATAAATTCTTAGCAAATTTTCCCATACTTGCCTTGAATTGATAATCCTTCTGTCTTTATCTCTGGCATATCTAGGATTATAGGCCTGTGTCACCTTCCCTGGTGGGAATTCTTAAAACAGAAATGCTCAACAGGGAAGGATACTGTCATATTCCCCAAACCTGAAACATTTGGATGGATAGTTAATAAAGTATAATTGTAACTATACATCTGGAAGTAGAGTACAGAGGTATGTCTTAGGAATTCGTATATCATCTCTGGAAGTAGTGAGAGATCAAAGTGTGATGTCAAATATGCTTTCGAAAATAGATGAGACATGGAAAAAGAAAAGAATGTGGGATGCCTGAGAAATAAATGCTCTCACTTTCAATGTCAGTATGCAAAACAATGGTGGCAAATTAGGATTATACAAAACTCAAAATTACTATGGGCACCACTGGTAGAAGAAGAGCTGTGGCAGTCTGGAAGATGTACATAATGTGTGTACATAGTTCTCCAACTATCCTGTACTTTATTTTATATTTTTTACTTTTATTTTATTATAAAGGTGATATACCAAAGGTTTATAGTTATGTAACTTAAGGTAATAAGTACATTTCTTTTCAAACATTGTTTACCCTCACTGGTTTTCTCCTGCTTTCCTTCCCTCATGACTCTCCTCTCCCCCAAGTCATAAATTTCATTTCCAACGTAGTATCTAGTGAGTATCTATGTTTCATTGGTTCAGCCTTTGTCCACTGCTTCTGTGATTCCCCTTTCTTTCCCAAAATCAGATAAATTTATACGCAAGACAAAGGATACTAAAATCAGAAACAGTTTCCAGGGAATAAACGAGAGGAGAAAAAGGAAAGACAATAGGTATTAGACAATAGACAATAGACATAGATGATAGACAATTAGACAATAAAGACGATAGACACAGAATATTCCTCAATATAAGAAAGGCTGTATATGACAAACATACAGCCAGCATTATACTTAATGGAAAAAAGCTAAAGCCATTTCCTCTAAATTCAGGAACAAGACAAGGATATTTGCTCTCTCCACTCCTCTTCAATCTACCATTAGAATGCCTAGCTAGAGCAATTAAGAAAAGATGCAAACATAAAGGGGATCTAAATAGGGAAAGATAACGTAAAACTCTCCCTCTTTGCAAATGACATGATCTTGTATTTAAATAACCCCACGGACTCCACTCCCAAGTTACTTGAGCTGATTTAAAACTTTGGCAAAGTACCAGGATATAAAACCCACAGAAATCAATGGCTTTCTTGTATGCCAATAACAAGAAGAACATGGCTGAAAGTAAGAAAGCAACCCTTTTGTAATAGCCTCACAAAAAATAAAATACCTAGGAGTTAGCTAAAGAAGTGAAGGACCTCTATGATGAAAACTTTAAAAACCTGAAAAAGGAAATTAAAGCAGAACTAAGAAAGTGGAAAACTCTCCACGCTCCCATGGGAGGATTAACATCGTGAAAATGGCAAGAATGCCAATGGGTATCTACAAAATCAATGCAATACCTATCAATATCCCAACCTCATTCTTCCAGGAAATAGAAGAAGCAATCTAAAAATTCTTATTGAACAATGATAGACCCTAAATAGCCAAAACAATCCTTAGCAGAAAGAAG